ATATATATATATATATATATATATATAAGCTTTTTTTTTTATAGTTCTTGCTGGTTCACTTTTGGAACAAGCGGAAAATTTGTTGGATAAGGGTATACATCCAATAAAAATTGCTGATGGTTTCGACTTAGCATGTAAGAAAGCGCTTTCAACTCTTGATAGTATTGCTGACGTATTTCCAATTAAGGATCGTGAATTGCTTATCGAAACAGCAGTTACTTCACTTGGATCGAAGATGTAGGTTTTTTTTTATTGCTGTTCCACTTCTCTTATACACTTTACCTTCCAATTTTTATTTTTATTTTTTTTTTGCTTTTCACGTGTAAAATTCTCTTGTAATGTTGTAAAATGAACTTGCAGCTTGGTTACCGAAAGATTAGTTTTAATGTTGTTTATTTGGTTTTTAGCTGACTCATTATCATCTGCTCTGTTTTCTGTTTTTTATGTTGTTCATTTTTTTTGTTTGGTACTGTATTTTAGTTGAATCACACGCTGTAAGACTATTTCAGATAGTAAGATTTTGATTTTCCTTATATTTGCGAATTGGAAAATCAGTTTTTTTCGTTTCACTGCTCTATTACACTTAAGCATTTCTGTTCGAAAAATCTGAAAGATAAAGTAAATTGAGAGAAATTCGTGTTTTTAACTAGGGGTCCTGTAACCATGATTGTGAGTCGTACAGATCGTTCAAATCATTGATCTTCAATGGAATTCATTTACTTTTTTTTTGTCTTTATAATTCCTGTATGCTTTCAGGTGATTGTGCTTTTCTATTTTTTTTTGGCTATTCAGTCGTACTGTCTTTAAAAACAGTTGGGAGAAACAGCTTTCTTAGTGTTGTTTTTTTTTTTTACTTTTACCTATTGTGTTTTGACTCTTGAATCGTTTTTTTTTTTTTTACAGTGTTAACCGATGTGGCAGGCAGTTAGCTGAAATTGCTGTTGATGCTGTACTTTCTGTGGCAGATTTGGAAACTAGGGATGTGAATTTCGAATTGATCAAAGTGGAAGGGAAGGTTGGAGGACGGTTGGAAGATACATGTTTGGTGAAAGGTGTTGTTGTCGACAAGACTATGAGTCATCCGCAAATGCCGAAGGTAAGTAACTCCAAAATTTCTGGCTATTTTTTTTAGAAATTTTTTTGCTGTACTGGACTTCAAAGCTTGGTTTCTTTTTTGTACGGAGGGGAAGGGTACTCTTTTTTTGGGTCGTTTATGTCACGATTAGGTGCCTTTTTTGATGTTATTCTACTGCGATATCGTACTTTAATTATCGGCGTTCTGAAAAAGCTTTCAGCGCCTTTTTTTATAGCTACTGGCCATAATGCACTGTAATGTACTATGTGCCACTATCTTAAATATAGTGAAACGTCATATTCATGGGTAATTATTGATCTAGGAAGAACTTTTTTCATTTTCTTTCTTTTCTGCATGGACGTTTAA